GCTTTACCTAAATACATAGGTAAATTGAATCCATTTTCATTAAACAACTTTGTGCCAATTAAATAAAATATTTATCTATAGTAAGTGTATTTAATTGTGCGCACAATATCAACTACAGACACAATGAGCAGCTGTTAATTAAAATGCTACAATCGAGTGCCGCTTGAGTTAATTAATGAAACTGTTTCGTTGTTACTGTTGTTGTTGTGCTAGTCTGTAGATAGGCTCTGTTACCTGGCAGGTGTATGCGTAATGTTTGAGCAATTCTAATTTGCATATGCTTTAAGTCAGTTAATTGAAATGAGCAACTGCAACTCTTTAAGGCTCCTCAAAAATCAAAATTTTTATTATAGCAAGCTTTGGCTTTAGAGCTATACAACCATACAATCGTACTGGCCCTTATTGCACTTCAATTTTAGATAACGTAATCCATATCGTAAATAGAATACAGCAATATATGATAACGTTACATTCCAATAAAAATGCGCCGAATGATGAATCATGAGCGAAAATAGCACAGAAGCGCAGTACGAGCGAGGTGAGAATTTAATAGAAATTCTGCCAACTCAGATACAAAACTTGGCAAAAACACATGATGATTGTACAGTAATCATTCGCAAACGAGAACTTGCATCAAATTGGAACAGTTAAAAAATTAATTCAGTGTGCAATTATTTACTTGTTACTTTCAAAATGTTCAATTGCTCAAAGCAATTTAAATGTGCAGCTCAAACATTTCAGGATAAACAGTTAGTCAATCAATCACCTGACAACAGAAAATTATTCAGTTGTAGCTAGTGATGTATCGATCAATTAGCATAGTATTTGTTTATATACTTATTTTAAATGCAATGTGCAATTGCCATTAATATGCTTTCAATGCCTTTCTCATCAAGCAATTGGTTAATCAGTTAATCAGAACATCAATAATTATTGTTTCCCAAACTCTTATCCAAGCTATGTTTTCATCACATAGATTGATACTTTTGATTACTTCATCATATTTTGTTTTTCAATTTATTTGATTCAAGTCTATATTCTATAGCGACCCACTTAGCGAACAACCACTGTGTTTGTCTAGCGTTCAATCTACTTATTGTGTGCAGTTGTCAATCTTATCTGCTTGTCTTTGTTAGCGCTGCGTCCCCTTTCCCCTCCCCCACCTCATTCCATTCAGCTTACCTTTCATGTGCATGAATATCATCTTTTGGCGCTCTTCCATGTTTTTGCTGAGCAGCGGTTCACGCTTGTCCTTGGGTATATTCATATCTTCGATAATCTCCAGAAATCTGGCATTCACCTCCGCCTCGCTTAGGTCTTGAATGTGCCGCTGCAGTTCCTCCACACCAACGAGGCCGCCCTCGTTATCCGTAGACAGGGGTCGACCGCCGGCACCATGGGGCAACGAATTGCTGTTATAGGTGCCGCTACCTTTCGATTTCGATGGTCGTCCGAACCAGCTCTCCAAGAGGCCGCCGCCCACCGATTTCGATTTTTCATGACGCGACATTCTACAAAATTTTTAAAATTAACATTAGTTTGTTGAATGAATTAAAAATCAATTAAAATTAAAATAATTGAAATAAGCGACCGAACCGTAGTTTTTTGAGACGCATTTCGTTGCACGACCGTCAATTTATTTTTATGTGTGTGCTTGTCTATGTTTATTAGTCTTGGACATGCGCAGCTTTTGAATTTTATTTTCTTTTTATTCCATTTTTTTTTTTTTTTTTTTTTTTGCTCAGCTGTTCATTGTTTACAAACGGGAGCAGTAGAATCTCTCTCTGAACTGCACGCCCCGAGCTGCGACGAGGCACTAACGCGCAACGCATCCCCTCCATTAAATCAGCTGGAAATTTAGTCACGATGATGAAGTTGGTGATGATGATAATGATGATGCTGCCGGTACTTTATTTACCGTAATAACAAACCGAGTCGCTGCAGCAGAGCTACAAATGGACTCGAGATGAGCGCTCATATGAACCAAATAAAATTCTAAGAACTAGTTTCCGGCTCCCTGGATTTCAATCAATGTAGGCTGGAAACAATGGCTATATATTCCGTATAGCTCAGGTACTACTCAAGCATATATCAAATTGATAAGTTTAATCGCAAAATTAATAATGAATCATTTATGAAAACAAATGTATTTACAAATACATACGAATATGAACAAAATGAGATTAAATCGATAATAATTGCCGCAATTGTCGCAAATAATTCAGATGATTACCATCATCTCTGGCCGTTAATTAGCATGCAAACAATAATGAAGTTGCGGCACGTGGTGCGTGAAAACTGTCCATTACAAACACAAATATGGGCATTGAAATTAAAAAGCTAAACTAAACAAATTGATAAACACATAAACATTAAGTATTATTGAGCGGACTGGCGACGACAAAAAAAACATGACGCGATAATAACCAAAATAGGAAACAAATAAAAATATGAAGAGAGCTCGTGAGAGATAGAGAGAGGGAGCGTGAGAGAGAGCAAGCAAGCAAACGATAAAAGTTGCGCGGGGTCATCTCTGTATATATATATATATATATATATATATATATATATATATATATGTGTGTGTGTGTGTGTGTGTTTGCGTGAATCACTTGGCGGCATTAGAATGCAACTTTGGCAGTTAATATTTGAATTTGCGCCTATATCGATAAATATTGCTTGTTGGTTAGAAGCTCAAGCTTTATGAATCATTTGAAAGACTGGTTTCTCAGCTGCCTGATGTCATCACTGTCGAACTGTGAATGATCTTAAGCAAATGGGCTCGCCAGCCTGCTGGCACTGTGTCTGTCTGCCTGCTGTATTGCAAAATAGTTTTAACAGCTACTTCGCAGCAGAGGGCAACACAATTTCTTTTCATGTCGAGTAGGAAATGCTTTCAACAAGATTTCTTTAGCTCAAGAATTTACCGCTGCTGTTGTATGCTGTTGTAATCGCATCAGTGCCTGAATAGGCCAATGCAGCAGCAATTATAACAATTGTTCGAGTACGTACATACCCTGTAAAGTGACTTGACCTAACTGTACATTGTGAAATACAGTTAAGGTACATAAGTACACATAAACACTATATATGAATATAAATTTATATAAAAATCATTTTGTATGGAATCTAGTATACTCTTTGATTCATGCTAATTGCAAAGGTCCCAGGGTACAACACCTTTGTTTACATAGAAGCTAATGCACTTCGCTGCTAATGAACATAATGTACGGCAATTGTAAACAATCGTCCGTATTTCGGCGGGCTTTCAAATTTATTAACAACAACTACTACAAATATAACGGCTTTGAAATGCAAGAAACGTGCTCTGGAATGCTGAAATTCCAAGAAGAGGCGATTAACAAACAACAGCAAAAACAACAAGAGGCGCGACTTAAAGCAAGAATTTATAAATGCGCTCACCTTCGCTTCGTTATGCTTGTACGCGTATGTGTTTCTGTGTGTTAGTGTATGTGTCGCTCTGCTCACTTTTGATTTTTCGGTGGTTTACGTCATAAGACTAAAAAATAATGGCTTGGTTGGCAAAGGCGCACCAAAAAAATAATACATACGTACAAACATACCTACACAGACAATCAAAGAGAGCAGTCAGTCAAACACCCCCCGTTACGTTTGTATTGTCAAAGTGCCCGTTGTTGTTGTTAATGCTGGCCGAATTTTTTTGTTTTGTTTGTTTTATATGCCGCGACGCTGGCCCAAACAGAGCTGCGCAGCGTACTTTAAGCAGGCAGCCTTACACATACTCACGCACACTAACATTATATACAAATTTATACGCACACGCACAGCGCCAGCTTACTTTGCTTAGCAATTACAAGGCGAGTTATATATATTTTGTTGAAACAACCACGTAAACTTTTTTTTACCATATAATTAGCTGACAATAATTTCGCTTACTTTTTGATTTTATATTTTGTTTTGTATTTTCTTTTGACTTGGCGTTGATCGCTTGGCTATCTGTGGTGGTACCACTTGTTGCTGTCGGCGCATTAAACGACACATGAAGCGTTGCAAAATTTGAAGCTCGTCTAAGTGCGCACCCTTATCGCAGCTCTTCTGTTCACTAAATTAACACGTAAATAATTTGTTGCACACAAATTCGACAAAAAAATAAAAATAACACTCAAGAGTCGAGCTAAGCGTTCAGTTAAGAATTTCGTTCCGTTCATTTCGTTCAGTTCCAATTCGATTTAAAATTCACTATCGCTTGCGTTGATTTGCTATCGGTATCGATATATATTTTTTAAATTATGTTATGACACTGACCAGAGAACAGTGGTCAGTGGTTATGATCACTACGATATATTGGAATTACATTGTACAATTTGTTATTATATTATGTAAATTGTTCTATAGTTACGTTAGTTTTAATTTTTTCTTAATTAAAGTTAAAATAGGTGTCGCTTAATAAAAATATATTTTTTAATCTGTATTATTTTTATCTTACATGTAAAAAAATGATGTATGGCTAAAACATTTAAGTTTTATAGCTTTACCACTGGTAGTGGCTTTACTAAGGATGGTTGTGAATACCGCCGCTTTAATCGATATCATATCACTAGTATTTTTGTGGCGGTTCAATAAGGGCACTCAGTATAAATCGAAATATGACATGAATAATCGACTATCGAAATCGTGTGAATTACCGCTCAAATTTTTGAAAAAGCTCTTTTCCATTTAAAACTGTTTGCAACTAAATGTAGCTGACATTTCATTCTAGATATAAATACAATTCGCTATATGCATATACTTAAAAGAGCTGCCTTTTTATATTTCGAAAAAATAAAAAAAGACACAGGTGACCACAATGGACCACATTTTCTTTGAGACTATTTCGATTGTTTTTCTTTTCTTTCTTTCATTTGCGTTAACATACTTATTAACATAATTATAGCTAATTATTAGATAATTAATTAATGGCATTTATAATGCTAAAATTAAACTACAAAACAAAACGAAATTAAAAACAAATGTGATAGTACACTTAAAACCGTATGCATTTAACACGAGTATATATAAGATATAGATACATATCTCTAATTCTTAATATACTAAGATATTTACTATTTGCTGCCACTAGCTGCCTTTTTTTCGCTTTAAACATTAAATTCACAGCTTAACCCTAAAATACTATTTACATTTTGTGGCCTGGTCCAGCAGCTTCTTCCACAGATCGAATTGTTCATTCGATTTTATCATATGGACGCTAATTGCATTTCTTATATTGCATGGATTAAACGATATACGACGATTGACAAACTCAGTCACATGTATACGCTCAATGCCCAAACTCTGTGCCACAATTCCTGTAGTGAAGACGTCCTCCAGTTTCAGATAGACGGTCTTCAAAGATCTAACATATAGATCGTGAACTATTGACCCTGTCATTACGTACGCAGGTCCCGTTGTAAACGATGGAAATACAGACGCAGGAAATTGATCAGTCGATACGTAGTACTTTGATTTCTTATTACGTATGGGCTTCCACTTCTTGGCCAAACGGCCGTAGATAGCGCGCTTTTGCTTGTGCTTCTCAAGTTGTGTGAGAAAATTCAGTAGCTTGGGCACATTAATAAACATGTCATCATCTGTTTTCAATATATATTTGGCATTCGAACAATGTTGATCGGTCCATTCCAACGATGAGATTGTCTTTAGCGTTAGATTATTGTACGAATCAATAAAATTTCCACGTATTAGATCCCCATACATATAATTCTCCTGGCTTAAAGCCGCATTCACTGTCTCGTTTGTGCCTCGACCCAAAACAAATGCCAAGCTTATGTCTCTTCTTGTTCCATAATGTCCCCATGTTTGGCGTATGGACATCCGAGCATCTGCATGAGTCTGAGCAGAGGTGATCAGTATAAGTAGACGAGTATTTAATCCATTTGAAGGACATATACGTTCCACATCAATTTCCTCATTTAGATGTCCGCTCTCATAAATTCTCTCTGCTGGAATGCCCTTTGAGGGATCCATGGGACCATTGGATGGTTTGTTGTTGATGGGTTTCGGTTTTGGCTTAACTGTCGGCGCCTTCTTTTTGCTCTCCTCTGCGATCACTTTTACGGGCATTACAGCGTAAGAGCCAACAGGTGCATTGTTATTATCCAGCAAATTTAATTGCACGTCCTCCATCAAACCAGGTTGATTGGTCTTATCTGCAAATAAATGAGGAAAAGTGAGTAATTGCTGGGAAAACCTAATTATATATATATATACAAAAAATATATATATATATTTATATATATTATATAAATTCTATATACTTTATGGAGCATGGGCACGTCATGTGCGCTGTTGTATAATTTGCAAACAAACAAGCCGAACCTTTCTTTGTCTGACCCGCTATTTAGACCCGTTAAGGAAATGCGATACTTCGCACTGTCTGCCAATTAGAATGCAAACAATAGCTAACGTAATGACAGACGTTTCAGCTAATGGGTAGATGTAGTTGTTGCTCAAAGGTGCTTTTGAAGTTATATACGTATATAAGTGCCGTTGCAAATAAGCTTCTGCTAACAGACATTTTGTACTCAAAATAATTATTTTTGTAATTACTTTGCAATCTTTATAGCCTACATTATTTATCTAACTAGATTTAACAATAAGTCTGAGACTTCAAACATAACTAATGGGAGACATTACGGTCTTCACTTTGGACCATAGCTGAGATCTCTCACAAATTTCAATTTTAGCTGCAGGTATCTTAAATAAATACTTTGCAAATTGTTCTTTGTATGAATAGATTGTCATAAATGCTAGACCCAAATATAATCCCTGAGAGATATTTAATTATTATTAAATAGTTTAAACTGACAGGGTATTTAAAGTTCGGCATGACAGAGACATAGATAACTGTTGATATTTTTTGTTCTATGTTGTTTTTAATTTGCACAAAACAAGCCAACATGCCACGCCCAATATTAGTTAACCAACCCGTGCGCTGTTCGCTGGGCGCGGAGGCAACTGCCGATGGAGCTGCTGGTAGTGCTGGAGCTGCAGCCATGTTGATGTTGCTGTTGGGGCTGCTGCTACTATTGGCTGTCATGTTCTTCAAAATCTTATCAGCATTCTCGATGAACTTTTGCAAATTGGATGTGGGTATCATCAGAACCTCAATGTCTGAAGGCGATTGCTGCTGTTGAAGTTGCTGTTGTTGCTGGCCAACAGCAACCGCTGCTGTTTGCTTAGCTTCGCTATTGTTATTGTTGTTGCTGTTAGTGTTGATGTTGCCTGCAATATTGTTTTTAGTTAGCAATGGCCAATGACAATTAGTGCATCTACTCACCTGTAATTGCATCAATATTTTGCACATATTGTGGCTCTTCGAGCAGCTCATCGCCTTGTTCGCTGCCAATTGCCATGGGACTAGCGCCAGCTGCACCTCCATCCAGCAGAGCGTCTTCATCTATGGTGGGCAAACGATGTTGGGGTTTCTTATGCTGTTGTTGTTCCGGTTGCTTTGCTTTGTTATTGTTGTTGTTGTTGTTGATACTGTTGCTGATACTGGATTCCTCTGCGGGCGCTAAACCGAATTCACCTGTATTATTCGGCGCCGCCATCAACGGTTGCTGCTGCTGTTGCTGTTGCTGTTGCGGTTGATGTCCACCTGCTGTCAGCTGTTGCGGCGTCGGCGGCGGCGCTGCTGCATGCATATGCGTCGGCGTCAGCGTCGCAGTCGTTGAGTATGATGCATAGATGAATATTGTGAGTATGACGACAATCAGAACCAGGAGAAAGCGCAAAATGCGCGTATTGTGTATGTTGCCAACAGCAGCCATCTCGAATCTTCTAGTTGTAAAATCTCAAATGTTAAGATGAAGTATTGTTCTTATAGCTATTAGTTTCTAGATTTATTATACGCGCTTTGCTTAGTACGGCCCAACGAACGTGAAGCGACTGCAACGAAAGATAAACAAGAATACTTAGTTCACAAAAGGAAATTGTAAACATACACGCGCGTACATACATATACATACATGTGTATGTGTATACATATGTCGTTTTTAAAAGGCAACTTCATTATTTTGCGTGGCTGTGTGCGTGTGTCAAGTGTTCGACGGAAATAAACAATGAAAGCGCGCCTAAGAATTCAACTTATTGAGTCAAAAACAACGTTTTAATAACATTTTGCATTCTTCTTCTGTTCTTGTAATTATCGAGTTGTGTGATATTTATCTTATCTTTTCTGCTTAGACGAACGAATTTTGTACGAGCATACAATTGACAATTCGATAAGTATTAATAGTGATGAGCTTTTGCTTTATGCATATGTATATCGTTAACTGAGTTACCTCAAGCCTTTGTGAACCGGTTCGGTTGGATTCGGTTCGGTTCAGTCATTTTGTAAAAATTTGAACTTTGACTGCATTGGTTTAGTTCGAACCGATAAATAAGTTAATACAATTGTCGAATTACTTTCAGTAGTGATTTTGCTATTGGTTCGCTAATCTAATCATAATATACCACCTGCTTAAATCGCTATCTTTTATTGCTAAAAATGTGTGCTTAAGCTCCATCAAATATAATTCCATGAATTCAACGATTAAAGTATAAAACGAAATTTTTTTGATTTTGACTGGTAAAGCTTTGTTAAGAACGACTATTTAATATATATATATATTTTTGTTTAGCAATTTCTCCTACTTATAGATTTTGTTTTTGTTAAACTAACAATCTTTTTGGTTGTCAAAGGGAAATGAACATTTGGTTTATCGTCAAGATTTTTTTCTGCTTAAAATGTTAATTGGCCGCAGATTAGGAAAACTAAAAAAATCGCTTTAATTAGTTTACTTATCGAGCACTTACAAAAACTCATTACTTTCAAACATTAACGTTAGAAACTTCCATCAAAATTTTTGCTTTATCTTCTTTTTTTTTTACTGATAGAAATTTTGTTGTTTTTTTTTTTTTTTTTTTTTTAATAAGTATACAAAACACGTTTACTGACGCAGGCAGAGCAAATTATTTTACTTTAACATTAAAATTGCTGAAGATGAAGTTTTTAGCTGCTGCGTTACTGCCCTCATGCTAATGAGGAGGACAAATGTTGCAAATGCGCATAAATAGCAACCGCATCAGTGTTGGAAGTTTAGCTTGATTCCCGACAAATTTGGCTACAGCCTTATTTTCAACGAAGAGTAAGAAACAGTTATTTCCTCACCAACAAATTGAATATTGACTTAATATACTTAAGTGAAACGTACTTAAAAGCCAACTTAACCTAGCCTATACAAACATAAAATTCTGTTCACAAAAAAAAACCTGCTTTTTTCTTGCTATTCAAGAGCTGCCAACACTGGCCAGTCAGCATCCACATTTGTTGCTACGCCGCGCTGTTTTGCATGCGCAGAGAGATAATAAAGTTAACTTTTTCAAAAAAGCTAAACAATTCTTGACCCATTTCGAATTCAGAAGTTGAAGCTGAAGCGATTTCGTCGATTGTTATTGTAGATACACATACACACACAAACACACTTGACTTGCCTTGAACCAGATACTTCAGATTAGAAATCAGGTATCTGAAAGCTGCCGTAATTTAAGCCAAAACATTTTTAATCAGTCTATTGTCAAATGCGAATTTCCTGGCTTATCGCTAGAGATTATAGATTTCAGTTGCGTTTACAAGCTTTTCTGTTAGCTGGAATGTGACTTTATCGCATATATTATATACATATATACTATTTATATTTATAAATATTTATATGCGCCATTAGCAAACTTGTTTAATATAAAGGGCTTTCAAATGTTAATAATAGGTGTGACTTATTTTTAGAATTATTTCCTCCGCTGACCTCCATTAAAATAATAACGAACCTGTTTAACGACACACGTCAAAGCCTAAATGACCGAAAGTTTAGTTTTTTATTTATAACAATCGATACACAATCACACAGTGGATCTTAAGGAAATAGGATATATTTTAGAACGTATTGACATATTTTTTTAAAATTTTAATTAACTTTCCAAATATTTGCAAAGTGTAATCACTCCATTATAAATAAAATATAAAATAGTTCTGTTTAAATACTGATTAATTTTTCTGTTTGTAATGCGTTTTGCTTTCTATTATCTCGAAATTCAATTGGTGTTAATTGCTTGGCCTCTGCCTTAAAAAGTGAAATGCTCTAACTGACTTATCAGTAATATATATAGATATAGATAATTGGTCAGTGTCTGGGCGTCTTTATCTAATCGAATACCAAAGAATAAATAAAGAACTCATTAAAAGCAAGTCAAGCACCTGAACATATCTCTCTGATTCGGTGTTCTTTACCCTCTAATCACAAGCTAACTAGTAGATAATGCAACTGAATTATTATGCAAAATATTCGACTTTTTTAAACATTTCTAATCTAGCTGGGAAATTTTTCTAATTACTGATAATAATTCGATTTTTGTAAATAAATTTTCCATTATGAAATTTGGCAATCAGGCAACCAATCATCAATCACACAACACTTAGGTATTCAGTAACTAATTTAGTAATTTTTGACATTAAATTTTGAAAAGAGAAAACAGGTCTCTCCGTGAAATTTTTCGATACAAACTGATATGCTTTAAAATATGCCAGTGGGCGAACTATATGAGTTATCATCGTCATACTGGCTCAATTTAGCTTATAAAGTGTCTAGAAGCTACCAATAATGACATATCAAATTGTCAAGTGAATTTAGCTCATAGTGTCTAGAAGCTACCAATAATGATATATCAAATTGTCAAACAGACAAATATACCTAATCTACCCACTTTTCACATTGTGAAGATGAGAAAACCCCGTTTTATGATTAGACACAACTTATATAGATGATTCAATATACAGTTGTTATTAGTCTACGTACAAGACAGCTAAGAAAACATATGTATTTCAGTTGTCAGTGCGATATTTTTGTTTCTTTGTTTTAAGATTGTTTATGGTGTTTTCTTTGACGCACTCTCTGCCATTTAGCCGCTTATCAAAGAAGAGCAAATGAAAATCTCAAGACGAGTTCTAAACTGAAACGTAAATCCCTATGCAAACAGTTTCCATGACAAAACTAATAATCAGCATTATATTGGAGACCGCAGAGTGACGCGCACAAATTCTGACATTTAAAAAGCGAAAGTGATGCATACTATATATATAATATATTATATTATACATTATAATTATTAGATTAGACTGCTGATATTTCATCTCGCATGATGAGTCATCTGCGCTGATAAGAGCTTTATTTAGGCACCTGCCTGCCTGCAGGGCACACAGAATGCTAATCAATAGAATACTTCCGGTCTGCCCGACATGCTGTGCCCTAACATAATCAACGGACCATACCAATTAGCTCTCGTCTTATCAGTTGACTACACTCGTAGTACAGAGAACAATGTAGAATGAAATTATATTGTTAAGCTACTACAAATACAGTATACATACATACAAACATATAATTTTGTATATTATTCAGCAGAATTATGTAGTCGAAATTTATATTTAATTCTATTCAAACTAAGCTGATTCGCCTCCAGTAACTTTGGTTGGCAGAGGTCGTGCTTTCGAATTAGTTCGCATGGCAATTACCAACATTTAATGTATAGACTCTAATTAAATTCACTATATAAAGATAGAAAACCTCCAAAACGTGTTTTTTTTTTTTTTCATATACATACATATATATGTATATATAATTAAAAAATGTTTTGAGTGTATAGCTTTTGAAATGAGCTCTGGAACAGTGTCGAATTGCGATAGATATGTTAAAATTTACAATTATTATTTAACGCGCTGATAAGTTATAACAATTGTAAAAATATATTACATCATATGAATATAAATACATACATATACATAAATATTTATATATACATACATATATGTATAAAGATGTAGGTGTAGCTAGCACAGCATTGCTTTTGCTTCTCTTCTTGAAATTGTACAAAAACTATGGACCCTGATAAGTACATTGAACCGCAGATAATCGACGGTTATACTGACAAAACGGGTTTCCTACTAAACTAAGGAAAACTACAAAAAAATAGGAGAAAAAAAATCTTCGGTTGGACCATGTTGCTATCAATCACAGTCGCATCAAAAATGCCAAAAAGAAGGCGTTGACCAGCTTTAGCTGTGGATATTACATATATATTTATAAAAATATATGTATTGTATATAACTGATCAGCTAGCTCTATGCAAAGCATTTCCGTCTAGCTGAATCAAACCTTTGCTCCCAATATTGAATAATTTGGCAATACAAAAAGTGAATAAAATGCGAACAACAAAAAACACTATTACTCAATCTTTCAATAGACAAAACAGAAAGAAAAATACAACATTATGCTTATGTTAATAAATTAAACAATCAACTAAGTGAGAAGTGTTGTAGACAAGGCTGATCGACTAGTAGATACCGTGCAAAACATTAATCTCTATGCTTTTAAACTAAGACTTAGTAGAATAAATTTAAGCTATGTACAAGTTTTAGTTATATATGATTCAAGTCCCTAAATCGTTATTCATCGAAATAATAAACTTACTTCGTTTAAGGTTTTCCCGAAACTTTAACATAGATAGAAACAGCTTAATCAAGTGAGCTTGAAGTATTGATATACACATACATATGTACACCTATCGATATCTTCCTCTCTCAGTCACCGACACACTTACCCAACTTCATTATACCCCCACAAAAATATTTTGCAATAGTTACAGAGTATGAAATGTATAAAAAAAAACCGCGCAGTCACCGCTTGGCCCATTGCATTATCACTGGCCCTCATCCATATACCCACCATCTCCCTTCCCTTTCTTCATCTCCCTCGCTCACTCTTTGTATCTCTCGCACACACTTACTTACCTGCAGCAGCTTAGTCGCTACGCCAACGTCAACGTCAACTTTGGCGAGTAAATTTGTTAATTGAAGCAGCGACTGAGACAGCGCCGTCAGCGTTAACGTCAACGGCAGCGTTAGCCAGAAGACAGCGACAAAGTCGTCGGCGCTGGGTCTGTGGCTATGGCTATTGTTGGACCAGGGTCAAGCATAATTACTAGATGGCCTGTTCTCTTCCTTTTTTTTTATCAGCTATTTTTAGTGTTTGCTCATAATTAATTAACGTTTTCTTGACAATGCACATACATATACATAAAACAAGAATTATGACAATAATTTGTTGCGTTGAATCTCCTTGGCAGCCTCTACCCGAGTATTTGTTTTGACAAAATTTATTGTCAGTTGGCTTTCAAGCTGTTTCATTAGTCATTCAGGCCAGGCACTACAGCAACAACAAAAGCACAGTCTAAGCGTTTATTTCTGTGTATGCAAAGGTTTCGCGAGTTTTTCTGCTGGTTTTTATTTTAGTTACTGCTTCGTTTTTGACTATTTTCTGTTGTTTTTACATGGATTATGACACTTTTGTTGGTTTATGCACTTTATGGCGAGCACGTATACAATCAAATGCCTTTAGAATTTAGGGTTTTAATCTCATTAAAGTGAATCTCAAATACAGTTTTTTTGTTTACTCCGCGACGTCGCCAACGGGTGCTGCGAGTCGGCCGTGCTCGTCCGCTGGTCGTGCTGCTGTGCTTCTTCTTGCCTTTTCTACTAATGATTGTAATCACCCTGTTACGAATAACAGCTTGCATAACAGGAATGTGTTAATCTGTTAAACTGTTGTCAGACTGTTAATAACAGTAACATCTTACTACTAATTTAAATTATTTCTTATATTAAAAAATACCCAGTATTGTTGCAATTAGCTTACCGAACTATTTTATATTATAAAACTTTACTTATTACTGAAGAAAAAATATATTGTATTTTGGCCAAATACTACTTACAACTTAAAATATATATAAATATAAATCCTATTGCAAATAAGACAACAGCTGCTCAACGGTTTACATGTCCGAACACTAGCGCCATTGCACTTATCGATAAACTGTGTACGTCAGCTGCAGCTGTCAGTAACGATTCACAAAAATTTTTCAACACCCGACGTTGTTATTGTGCTCGCTTGCGTACAATTGTTTGGTTCATATATAAGCGTAAAGTGAGATTAGGCGGATGTGTTTTTAGCGTTATTGTTGTAATTAAATGTTGAACACATATAATGCGCTAAGTGTCGCGTTTATACAAAAAGCACACAACAGCAGTTGAAACGGAACAAAAAAAGTCGTGTGTAACTATGTCATTTGTGGGCGGCGGGGTGGTGGGCGGTGGCACCGATGTGCATAAATTTGTTGAGGCCCTACAGGCAGACTTCAAGACGCTCTCACTTGAAACCAAGAAGAAGTACCCGCAAATAAAAGAGGTAAGTGGCTCGGCTTAGCCCAGGGTCAGCTGCTGTTGCCTCCTGCTTAAATCCGCTGACGTGTGCATCATAACGTAAATTTGTCATACGGTGGTTGTTTTGTGGGCTGCAAGGAGTCTTAAAGAGGGAGGGGTTGATGGGTGCGTCTCCTCTCTGCACCTGTGTGTGTACGACGCAATTATGAAATTGCTATCAGGCCAACCGGTCAGCAATAAAAAGAAATTAAATTGATTTTTTTTATGACAATTGCGTTAATTGATTTGTCAATGGTCATTAAGTTACGTTTTTCTTGCAGGCATGCGAGGAGGCAATCTCCAAATTATGCACCGCCGGCAGCAGCCAACAAAATTCTGTTTACTACACCGTCAATCAGATACTCTATCCGCTCGTGCAAGGCTGCGAAACAAAAGACTTGAAAATTATCAAGGTGAGTCATTCATTATCGTTGCATAGTTCCGCCACTGTTACCTGTTTTGTTTGTTTATAGTTCTGCCTGGGCATGATGCAACGTCTGATTACACAGCAGGTAGTCGATCAGAAGGGCGCTTTGTATATCACAAATGCATTGTGGACACTGATGGAGCACAACATAGAGGAAGTGAAGGTGCTGCAAACGGTGACGTTGCTACTGACAACCAATCTGGTGGTACATGGCGACACGCTGGCCAAGGCTCTGGTCTTGTGTTTTCGCTTGCACTATACCAAGAATCCAACGATTGTGAATACGGCAGGTGCAACCATACGGCAGCTAGTCTCATTGGTCTTTGAGCGCGTTTATTTGGAGAAAGATTCAGTGCACAGTCTGCAGCCACAACAGCAACAGCAACCACCGCAGCAATCTGGCTCGAATAGTCCCGACACCGACGCCAATAACAGTACCCAGGATGGGCAAACTTTTGCAATGGATGCATTTCATCTGTTCCAGGATCTGGTGCAGCTGGTCAATGCGGAGCAACCCTTCTGGCTGCTGGGCATGACAGAAATGACGCGAACCTTTGGACTCGAGCTGCTAGAAGCAGTCCTAAGCAACTTTAGCGCTGTATTTCATGAGGTTAGCTGAACTTTAGGATAATTATATATGCACAATATAAATACATCTCTTTTCCTTTGCAGAATCAAGAGTTTCGCTTGCTCTTGAAGGAACGGGTGTGTGCTTTGGTCATTAAACTGTTCTCGCCCAATGTCAAGCATCGCCAATTGCCAGCGCCGAGCAATGGCACAGCGGCTGTGCCCGTGGACAAGCCACTGTTTCCCATAAGCATGCGTTTGCTTCGCTTGGTGGCCATATTGATACAGAAGTATCATACAATATTAGTTACCGAGTGCGAGATCTTTTTGTCGCTGATCATTAAATTCTTGGATCCCGACAAGCCGCATTGGCAGCGTGCATTAGCTCTGGAGGTGATTCACAAGCTGGTAACACGATCCACGTTGATTGCTTTCTTCTGCAAATCGTATGATTTGAAGAATCACGCAACGCATATTGTACACGACATGATTGCCGCTATGGGTAGCTATGTGCGTTACTCACTGATCAATGCATCAGCAGTGCTGAGCAATGGTGGACAACAGGCAATTGGAGCGTCCGGACAGCAGCCAAGTACATTGGCGGCATTGTCTAGTGGAGGGAACAATCAGTGCGGTTTTATGTTCCGCGGCGCCTATCTGCCTTTGGTCGCCAGCTTTGCGCCCGGCTTACCAAAGGCTGTCTAGTAAGCACCAGCAGCAGCAACAGTCTTATCTACTGTATATTAATAATTATGTTATGTTTTAGTTTGGAAATGTTGGACAAACTGGATGCGCCCAACATACCCGATAGCTATGGCATTTCTGTGGCCTATGCCATTCTGTTGGATATAACCCGTTCCATTGGCGGAGTTATTCAGCGCACACCGGAATTGCATCCCACACACAATATGGCCATTATTACTGACGAGGAGTATAAGCCGTTGTGTTTACAATTGATAAATTCCAGCTGGTCTGGACTGCTAAGCGCATTCATTCCGCTGGTGGAAACGTCAATCGATGAGGGCACCACCGAGAATATTTTGAAAGCCATGCAGAACTATGCGGCGCTTTGTGGCATGTTGCAGCAGCTTCAGCCACGCGATGCTTTTATAATGGCCATGTGTCGCGCCTCCTTTCCGCCACACTATGCCGTATCCATATTTGCCAATAGCGCACAGCCAGACGTTGACCTAAGATGTAAGCATTATAAATTTATATTTAGTTATATATTTAATAATATTTTATAATAATATTTTCATTGTAAATTGACAGGCCACACGCGCAGCGGCAGTCAGGATCTGAGCAGTCAATTTATTAACAGCTGCAACGCTGATAGCGGCGACTTTCGACCACAGATTGTGGCAGTTGGCACTCCGTTGCCCAGCGCCTCGTTGCCGCACAGTGTGATGCAGGCTCCAGTAATGTTGACCAACAAGAATCTGCAATGCATGCGAGCGATTCTTTTGCTGGCACACAACAATGGCAGTATTTTGGGCACGTCGTGGCACATTGTGCTGCAGACGCTGCAGCATTTGGTATGGATATTGGGCTTGAAGCCCTCGACGGGCGGCAGCTTGCAGGCAATGCCCAAGCCCGCCGTGGAAGCCAACGTGGGCATACAGACGGCCGTAATGGCTGATTTGCCTGTGCTGTCGCAAATGATTGGGCAACTGTTCGAATCGAGTCAGTGTCTAGATGATGTCGCCCTGCATCATCTAATTGATGCACTGTGCAAACTCTCCCACGAGGCCATGGAGCTGGCCTATGCCAATCGTGAGCCGTCGCTCTTTGCTGTCGCCAAACTGATGGAAACCGGACTGGTAAATATGCCACGCATCGAGGTGCTCTGGCGACCGCTTACCAATCACCTGCTCGAGGTTTGCCAGCATCGGCATATACGCATGCGCGAATGGGGCGTTGAGGCTATAACTTATCTGGTTAAATCAGCGCTGCAATTCAAGCACAAACAGCCTCTCAAAGAGAACTTGGTAGGTGGAATTACTATAGCCCAGATAATTATATATTAAGTTATATTCCTGCACTCATAGGAATTGCAAACCATGTTGCTAAGTCCACTCTCTGAGCTGTCCACTGTTATGCATGCGGATGTACGTCAGCGCCAATTGGATTGTGTGCTCCAGATTCTGAATACAGCTGGAGAGATATTATCGTTTGGCTGGCCTGCTATAATCGAGATAATTGGCGCTGTTAATGATCACCACGGAGAGCCGCTGATACGCACTGCCTTTCAATGCCTGCAGCTGGTCATTACCGACTTTCTTACGGTCATGCCCTGGCGTTGTCTGCCCCTATGCATCAGCACAGCAGCGAAATTTGGTTCCCAGACACAGGAGCTAAATATTTCATTGACAGCCATTGGACTCATGGTAAGGGATTGCGATCCTAGTTACTGGATTAATTATTGATTTGCTGTTGCTTTTGCAGTGGAATATCTCCGACTTTTTCAATCAAAACCAGGATAAACTGATGTCCACACAGCTTGAGGATGTGGCCATACTGCCCGACTTTCCAGGCACTTTGAAAATGCCACAGTTTGACAAACTGTGGATGTGCCTGTACGCCAAGCTGGGCGAGCTGTGCGTGGATTTGCGGCCAGCGGTGCGCAAGTCAGCGGGGCAAACGCTCTTCTCCACAATTGCAGCGCATGGCACTCTGCTTAACCCACCCACCTGGCAGGCTTTGGTGTGGCAAGTGCTCTTCCCATTGCTGGACAACGTGCGTGCACTGAGCAGTTCGGCCAGTAACGAGAAGGTGGATGCCAGTGGCAATATACTGATACACCATTCGCGTAACACGGCCCAAAAGCAGTGGGCCGAAACGCAGGTGTTAACCCTGTCTGGCGTTTGTCGAGTGTTCAACACCAAGCGTGAGCTGCTTCAAGTGCTGGGGGATTTCGAACGTGCTTGGTCGCTTATACTGGAGTTCATTCAAAATGCGGCGTTGAGCAAGAATGGTGAAGTTTCTCTGGCGGCACTCAAGTCGTTGCAGGAGATTATGTACCATAACAGCACGGACCGAGGCCTCAAGGAGGGCCAGTCAGCACAGCAGCAGGATGAAGAGATCTGGAATGTACGTCGGTCTGCAGGATAAAGCTATAACCTACTTATTTATGTATATACTTAACAGATTGCCTGGAACATATGGCTAAGCATTGGCATGGAGAGCACCAAAATGTCAGCGACTTCGAGATATCTGCCCGGCGTGGGTGGCAGCGGCGATAGCCAGGAAGACTTTTACATCCCAAGCCAGGCATTCCTCACGGCTC